AATGGTCACAGAAAAATGGTCTCAGAATAGAAGTGAAATAGTCATTTGCCCTAGACCAAGGCAATGTCACAGCACAAAGGATCGTGGTTATGTAGCCTTGAAACTTGGCCAGCATTTAGGTTGTTGACCTCGAGTTAACCAAACTTGTTTTATTAAGGGTAACGAGGTCTGGAAAAACACTGCATTCCCATTACTCATTGTCATACTACCGTGATACAATAACCACAATCTATTCAAAATACTATAGAGTTTTGAAAATAGAGCAATCCATAAATAAATCTTCAAATAAAAAGGCATATGAAAAGTATCCCGCATGTGTTTCTTTTGAACGAAAAATCGAAATTTATTTTAAGAAGAAATAACGATTATTTCTAACCTTAGAGATGAAGTATGAAAGGATGAATTGGCATATATTAGATCAAAATATCATTTATTTTACCAATAATTCAGTTGGCTGAACGCCAACCTTTATCAAGGTATTATAACATTTTAATGTTTGTCTAACTGGTTGATATCGTTTTGAAAATAAAGCAATCCATATATAAATCTTTAATTAAAAAGGCATATATTGGATCAAAATATCATATTATAATACCTTGATAAAGGTTGGCGTTCAACCAACTGAAATATCATTTATTTTACCAATATTTCGGTTTGTTGAACGCCAACCTTTATCAAGGTATTATAACATTTTAAAGTGTGTCAACAACAAACTCGGAGCCATATACCGTCAATAGAATTAAGTTTAAAAATATAGTTTTGCTTATATTCAATGGGGATAAAAAAAAAAGATATATAAATTTATATCATGGACAACATAAATTTTGTAACATAATATAAGCAAAAATATTTTTTTAAACTTAATTCTATTGACGTTTTGTGGCGCTGAGTTTGTTGTTGACACACTTTAAAATGTTATAATACCTTGATAAAGGTTGGCGTTCATCCAACTGAAATATTGATGAAAATAAATTATATTCTGATCCAATATATGCCTTTTTATTTAAATATTTATATATGGATTGCTCTATTTTCAATAATACTATAGAGTGTTAAATTAAAAACATTAGGTCTCCATTGAAAAGTTTCATTTTAACAAATCTTTTATTT